ATCACACGAACATGAGTCTGTTGGGTGTCTGAAATCTTTAGGTCAGCAACAAAGATATCAAATCCTTCGCCCCTATGATTATATCATTTTCTGTATGTAATAACTGAAGTAAAATCCATTATATTCAGGCCTTCCTGGAAATCTTGGATGCTAATTTAAGATGGTACGCAGTAAATTACATTCTGCTTGTTTTACTGGTTCTCATAGTCAGTCGAATTGATGCATTTGTCCGAAGAATTGTGAAAAACGGGGGAAGGTGAAGGGGAGCTTGTTAGCTCTGTATCATGCTTTCTGTGTCGGAGCGATTTCCCATATCAGATGGGGAGCTCTTTTTAAAGTTTTCTTGTCCTGTACTTTGTCCTGGTCTTGGTATTGGTCTGAGATTTCAATAATGGAAGGAACAGCACCAAGTCCATTGTTTTTGAATTTGATTTACTTCCTACCAGTACTCAATCTATCATATTGAGAATCGTTCAGATTATATACCTTTATTACCGAATGGACAAATCCTGGAAATTGCTTGATTTGTTTATCCCCTTCCAAAATAGAGAATCGTTCAGATTATATCACTTATTTTCTCTCTGGATAACTTTCGAGGTGAAATCCTGGTCTTGTCCAAACTGTAAATTATATGATGTGATTGTGGTTAGCTCGGCCTTGTACCAATTTCATGTAAATTTTTCCATAGAAAGCTATTAATGAATACTTCAAAGTACCAATTTTTAGCTGCAGAAGGTCGTGCTTGCAATGAATGCCTAACTAGTTTGACATGCAGCAAATCCCAATAAATTGTTTGTGGTGTTTACTTTTAATTAAGTTTGGTCTAGAAATGTTCACTTTCTCTTCTGAATGCAAATTAAAGCTTACGTTACAGTCTTGGGTTTGGCTTAAGATGCTCTAATGTCCATTTTCATCTATTAGATTACAAGTAAATTGTAAAACTTATGCGAAGTCATGTAGGATTACAAAGATTTAGAAGTTCAAAGGGAGCATTGTACCTCTTAATCCAACATGTAACCTGTCTCATTATCACCCTGTAAACCGCTTTTTTGTTAGACTGAACTGGCTGTAGTCATCAACAATCACCATTTCAGTACGCTTAGACCTTTCCTATTATTCTTCTTAGTAAAGATGCTTGGTAGGTGTTGTTTTTGGCATCAGGTACCTTCTGTTTGTCATGTCAACATTCTCTATCAATTTTTTGATAGGAGGTATGATTGATATTGGTGGTATTGCATCACTTTTTTGTGTACCTGTTAGATTAATCTCAGGAGAATCTGCAGGAGCAGTATATATGTGATTGTAGAGAACTCATCTTTATTCTTCAATTTCTTGTCATCTGTGTGTGCACTCAACAAGTTAAGGACAACTGATCTGATTGCACTCATAACTCTAACTAAATCAAGAAGAATAGTATCCAGATTGATCTCTACTTCAAAAAGCTTACCATTTTTCCCTCTTTGATGATTCAATTAGCACTTTCTTTTTCTCTTTTGTGGATGTGGAAAGTTAACTCAATTTGAGTTCCTTAGTTGTCTATAATTTGCTTACTTCTGAAACTTTCGGTTGTCGCATAATATTTTCTCTTGATTGAAACCTGGACAGAATATTCGACGGCTGTTGCTACATGTTCCAAATATTTATGTAGCTATTTTATTACTTCAAACTTGCGCGATGAGATGTCGAGAGTCAAATTTTAGGGCAGTTTGATTTCCCAAAAGCAACTGAATTTATAAAGCATTCTAACTTCTCCTTGCTCTCCATTTGCTTATACAGGGTGGTTTATCGCTCTATATTGCCGCTGGCTAGGATTTCATGCCCCCTGTTACCCGCCGTGCTGCCAAAGGTATATTTGCCAATTTCCCCTTTGTTCAGTGCATTCTATAGTATGGTTGTCTAGTAGTTGACGATCCTTGTTGTTGACACAGCATTGAAGCCGATTGGGATCCAGAAATCTCTTGGAACCAGGTCTGATTGGGCGGAAAACGATATTCGGCAGTGCCTTTCTAACTACTACAAGGTACCATTGTACCTCCTGTACTTTTTTTTCCATTATTATGTGTCTGAAACACCATTTTAGTCATAATATGTTAGGGGGCTGACTCTTCTAAAGTTGGACCTTCTTCCCTGTCCCACGAAACAGCAAAATCGAACATTTTTACCTCATTGCCTTGAATATTATTGTCGGATTTCACTATGCATGGTAGCATTTGTTATTTAGTTCGTTTTTGTCATAACCAAAATACAGAACAGTGCTGATTTGCTAAAGCGAAAGGATGTTAATATTGGCTGTCCATGCTAAGAACAGAGCCTTGCTGTGAGGAGGACATGATAGGGACTATTTCCATTGTTCAAAGTAACACTGACAGGATGTTAATATTGATGTGTAGTATATGTACTGTTAAGCCATAAGCTATCGTCCAATGTGTTTCAATCAATATATGAGGAACAAATATGGAAAACTTCCTCTACCAGAAATAGTACTCTACTTGTCCTGGAAAGCTCTTTCCATTTGGTTGGACAGTGGTGGCATTTCGGAGAAGAAAAATGCATGTGTCAACTGGTCTAAATTTCTGAAAAAAAGAACTATTAATTTACATCCTGTCTACTATTAGAAGAAGCTTTCAGCACCTGTTTTTTGAGATCACTTTTGTCTTGAACTGGAACAGTCTTCTTTCTTGGCTTGACTTTATGTGGGAAAGAGTTATATGTGCATTTTTGGATTTGGGTGCTCTTTATATGGATAATGTGGAAGGAAAAGAACTTTGAAGTTTTAAATTGGAATAAAACAGAGTTAAGGAGCTTACGAACTAAAGCGAAACTTCACATTACCAAAATACAGAACAGTGCTGATTTGCTAGTGTTATGTTGGATGAGTGCTCAATTTAACTTTTAGTTCTAGATTTTTTACATTTTGTTAACAGATTTGGTTTGATCCTCATTACAATACATGATTTGGCTTGATCCTCATTACATCCTCATGATTTTTTGGTTATAGAAGAAGTGTATTTAATGGCCGACAGATTTGGGTTATCCACATAAGTGTTAAATGGCTTTAAATAAAATTTAGCCGCTTATGCAATACAATCTGTTTTCCTTTCTAAAAAGCTGCTTACAATCTGTTTTTTTCAACTGGATTTGTGTATGGCTTATTAAGATGAGAAAACAAAGGCGCCATCCAGAGAAGGAGCGTTGTAATTACTCTAGGCAGCACGAAATCCAGTTTGCCAACCACCTTGTTGAGATGCATAGACAGGGTGAAATTAGGGACAATATTAGTTCCTACGTGGTTCCCGAAATTCAGCGCCGGTTAAACGGGCAGTACGGCACCTCGTTTACTGAGGATAGTATAAGGGGCAAGTACTATGCATTGCGCGGGGAGACCAAGCTGTACATTTCCTTTAAGAGGCGCGGAACGGGAATGGGTTGGGATAGCCAGAAGTTTACATGGCTTATGGATGATAGCCAATGGGCCGCGATGGAGCAGGTATCCACATTTTCTGTGCCTTTTTTTTTATATAAACTGTTTTGTCATTTCATACGTGTAATATTCCATTAAATCCTGTTTTGGCTGAATTTGTTTTGTCAGGTCAACCCAAAATACGGCAAATTTCGGAATGACTGCACCGTCTACCATTTGCTTGAGGAAGTCTTCGTCAACCAAGGAGCGACGGGAGACTTCAGTTCTGGCTTCGAGAACGAGCTCCGTACTTCAGCCGATGAGCGAGAAATGGAGACTACTGCCCGGCTTGCACGGGGAAAGGGATCAAGGTCCAGCAGGGACGAGGAAGCTGAAATTGAGGTACGGGGGCCAAAAGAAGCGAAAGGAAAGGGGGGGAAAGGAAAGCGGAAGTCGGGTGATGGCTCTGGCTGTAGTCCCATGTCCACCGCTTCTGGCTCAGTGACCGATAGATATCTCAGGGTCTGTGAAAGCATCGAGTCACTGGTTAGTCGGAAGAAGAGCTCCAGCACGAGTGCCTCAGTTAGTTCTCCGGACAAGAATCGTTCTGGCCGCGATCCATCGAAGAAAACCGACTATGAAATTGCCATGGATCAACTTAAACTTATTGAGAACGTCAATTTCATGGCCAAATACAAGGCAGCTGAGATATTGAAGGATAAACAAGAGCTGGATGTTTGGAATTTAGCTGCAAGTGACGCCGACCGCATCACTTGGATGAAGCTAAAAGGCTGTTTCCCCCCTGACTCTCAGGAGCCCCCTCCCCCACCCCCCTTTTAGGTGCTTTCGTTGTTCATCAGGAGCATTTATTTGAAACTTGAGTTGTTGCCTAATGTTTGTTTGTATTTGAGATCTGTTAGGTGTAGCATTTGCTACCGGAACTTGGACTTTATCCTTTCTGAGTGTTGTGGTTTGTATATTTGAATTTGCGGATGAATACTGGTTTGTTGAGTTGTTGTGTTGCGGATGAATGTTGAGTAATTAAATTCATGATGCCTTTGTTTAAGAATTGGTTTGCGGATTGAAGATTTTTTTTTGTTTCATTTAAAACTGGTTTGTGTTCGTTTCTATTAGGTTGGATATAACAAATCATGGTGATATGACTGTTGTTGGATCGCATTTTTTTTTTTAGGAAATGTACTGGTTGGGCTATTGCTATGTCTGTTTCGAGTGATACTTATTAAGAGTGATAGTTTCATCCATGCAGGTTGTTGGAATGTCAGGAATACGTAGGGCAGTTTTTTCCTTACTTATTGCTATGTTTGTTGTTGGAATGTCAGGAATAGTAGGTTCAGAAAAATTGTAAGAGTTGGATAATAAGAAAGATGTAACGGATAACGTTCCTTACTTGGCGTACAGTTTATATAGTAAAGAATATGTGTCACTTATTTCAAGAATATGTCTAATTTCATCCACGCAGCTCAATTGTGCGACTTACTTCAAGAATTATATGAAGTAATTCAAGTAAGGGACAAAATTCCTTACTTGGCCTGAATTTTCGAATAAAGAATAATCTATCTATCTATCTATCTTAACAAAGATAGAATAAAGAATAAAGAATAAAGATGATCTATCTTAATAAAGAATAAAGAAAATTCCTTACTTACTTTAACAAAGATGATCTATCTATCTTGGCCTGAAATTCCTCTCAACATCCGCTGAAATGGATGTCCATTTCAACAAAGACTTATTCAACAAAAGTCTTTCAACAACTAATTGGCAGATCAATTTCAACATCCGCTGAAATGGATGTCCATTTCAAAGACTTATCTCAACATCCGCTGAAATGGATGTCCATTTCAACAAAAGTCCATTTCAACAAAGACTTATTCAAAATTGAAGTAAGGGACAAGAAAAAAGCAACTTTTGGAAGGAAAATAGGTGCTTTTAGGTATGATGATCATTTTTAGAGCAAGTATTAAGTAGGGAATATGACTTACTTCAACAACTATTTTGAAGAATATGTCTTACTTGGACAATTCTTTCAAGAATACGTGACTTGCTTGAAGAAGATGTAAGATTCTTTTTATGAAGTACGATGCAAAACTTCTACTGGATTCCTCAACTTGTTGGCTATAAATTGGTTGGCGAAGGCTCTAGGCTATTTCAAGAACTTATCGTATTGTCTTACAAACCAATCGAATAGCCTATATATTTCAAGAACTTATCCTCTTGGCTTACAAACCAATCCTCTTGTCTTACAAACCAAGAACTTATCCTCTTGGCTATAAATTTGTTGGCCAATAGGTTTTTGTTCAATTTTGGTCCATGTATATGTTGAATTTTATATTTCCTACTCTGTTTTGGCAAATTAAGATTGGCTTTGAATGATATCTCTGTTTTCCTTTTTTTTTTTCAGATTCACGTCCAATGCAGTCGCACAGATTGAACGAAATGGAGTATGATGGTTATGTGAATGGTGGGAACTCATCTGATGACTCGGACGACGAGGAGCTCATGTTGGCCTTCGCTGCCTTTATTCTTGCTGGATTGGCCTTATTCGACCCGTACATCAACTCGGGCCAGCGGCGAAGAATTCGAGATAGTGCACAGTCAGGTCCTCAATATGTTATCGAGCTGATAAACGGCCATCGAGACAGAATATTCGACAACCTTCGAATGGAAGCTCCCCTTTTCCTCCAATTGTGTGACTTGTTGGTTCAGAGGGGCTATTGGGTGCCCCACCCGACACAACGGGTGGGGATTCATGAGTCCGTTGCTATATGCCTGCTGTGTTTGAGCCATAATGAGCGACATAGGGTGCTTGCCGAGAGATTCCAACATTCTCCCGAGACAACGGACCGCCATCTACGACGCTGCCTTAGATCTCTCGTTCGATTGGGACGCGACCTGGTCCGACCGGTAGATTATCACACAACCCATCCAAGAATACAGAACAGTGCTTTGTTTTGGCCCTGGTTTAAGGTTATGAGCTACTATGTCAAATTACTATTTCATTTTGTCTAACAGCTGTGACCAACTTATGTCTAGAATTTTTTTTTTTATTAGGATTGCGTTGGAGCGATTGACGGAACACATGTTTCGGCCTGGTGTACAGCCGAAGACAGGGAACGTTACCGGAACCGGCATGGTAGCTTATCACAAAACGTTCTAGCCGTGTGTGATCACAACATGAGATTTACTTATGTCAGGGTAGGGTGGGAGGGTAGCGCACATGATTCTAGAATCTTACAAGAAGTCATACAAGATCCTAATTGTGCATTTCCGTGGCCACCAGCAGGTTAGTCCAGATTAAATCACATAATTCCTTTCCGCAATGCGTCTTCAAAGTTTATATAAATATAATTTCATTATGCCAGGGAAGTATTATGCGGTGGACGCAGCTTACCAGAATATGACAGGATTTATGGCTCCATTTAAAGGTGCACGGGGAACCGCGCAAGAGCGGGCAGTGAGGATACTTTTCAACAAACGTCATGCATCGTTAAGAAACATTATAGAACGTACGTTTGGCGTCTTGAAGAAACGATTTCCAATACTTAAGGGCCCTATGCAGAATTACATGATGGCTACGCAAAATAATATTGTCCTGGCTTGTATGGCCTTGCACAACTTCATGCGCGAGTATGTTCCAAATGATGCATATTTTGCCGAAGAAGAAGCAGATATAGCATTGGCAGATAACATAAACCCCTTCAACCCAATGCCAGCAGCACAAGGACCAGATATGTCGGCTGCAGGAATTGCTGAATGGAATGAAAGTAGGAGAGCAATAGCCGATATGATGTACTATTATCAGCACCAGTAGAACATCTCCTGTCATTATTTGTTCAGATAGTAGGCCCAATAAATTGTACACTTATGTCTCGTCTATGTATTAAAAAATTGATAATTGTTTAAGTGCAAATGGCACTCAGTATTTCGAACACAGCCCTAAAAAAAATTAAATGTTGTTTTTCAAAAACAGTGAATCCATACACGCTTGTTTTTCAAAAACACTCTGTTTTTGAAAAACAACTAATCCAAACAACATTGAGTGTTTTTCAAAAAATGAATAGTGCTGTTTTTAAAAAACAACCCCAAAAACAGCTAATCCAAACGGAGCCACTCCGTTTGGATTGTCAATTTTTGCTAAAACTGTTTTTGTCTTTCAAAAACAACCACTAATTGTATTTTGGTTACAATAAAGTCTACAGTTAAAAAATGACAAAACTACGTCGTTTTGACAAAAATTGCCAAAAGACTTGTTCTCGGACTGCATCTATCGTTGACAGTTGACACCCATTCAACCCTCATATCACTTTCCCAAACAAGCAAACATTCTAGCCGCTTCTCTTGAAAAAAACAAGCAAACCATAGTGGATTCAAGATCTGCAAAATTTCACCGGATCTGCAACCAATGACGTGAATCTGAGCCCATTTACGCCGCGATCACAGCCCTTTTCCTACGATTGAGACACTTAACCACGGCGGGTCTTCAGCTCCAAAAAGCAACCGACGGTAGAGCATCTTCGCTGTGCAGGTCGAATAAGGTAAGCTCTGATTTCCCTGCTTATTTTACCTTTTCCAGGGCTGATTATATGAGGTAAACCAGGGTGGGAGTGTTGCGTTTTGACCTTGGGGAAGCTTATCACACGAACATGAGTCTGTTGGGTGTCTGAAATCTTTAGGTCAGCAACAAAGATATCAAATCCTTCGCCCCTATGATTATATCATTTTCTGTATGTAATAACTGAAGTAAAATCCATTATATTCAGGCCTTCCTGGAAATCTTGGATGCTAATTTAAGATGGTACGCAGTAAATTACATTCTGCTTGTTTTACTGGTTCTCATAGTCAGTCGAATTGATGCATTTGTCCGAAGAATTGTGAAAAACGGGGGAAGGGGAAGGGGAGCTTGTTAGCTCTGTATCATGCTTTCTGTGTCGGAGCGATTTCCCATATCAGATGGGGAGCTCTTTTTAAAGTTTTCTTGTCCTGTACTTTGTCCTGGTCTTGGTATTGGTCTGAGATTTCAATAATGGAAGGAACAGCACCAAGTCCATTGTTTTTGAATTTGATTTACTTCCTACCAGTACTCAATCTATCATATTGAGAATCGTTCAGATTATATACCTTTATTACCGAATGGACAAATCCTGGAAATTGCTTGATTTGTTTATCCCCTTCCAAAATAGAGAATCGTTCAGATTATATCACTTATTTTCTCTCTGGATAACTTTCGAGGTGAAATCCTGGTCTTGTCCAAACTGTAAATTATATGATGTGATTGTGGTTAGCTCGGCCTTGTACCAATTTCATGTAAATTTTTCCATAGAAAGCTATTAATGAATACTTCAAAGTACCAATTTTTAGCTGCAGAAGGTCGTGCTTGCAATGAATGCCTAACTAGTTTGACATGCAGCAAATCCCAATAAATTGTTTGTGGTGTTTACTTTTAATTAAGTTTGGTCTAGAAATGTTCACTTTCTCTTCTGAATGCAAATTAAAGCTTACGTTACAGTCTTGGGTTTGGCTTAAGATGCTCTAATGTCCATTTTCATCTATTAGATTACAAGTAAATTGTAAAACTTATGCGAAGTCATGTAGGATTACAAAGATTTAGAAGTTCAAAGGGAGCATTGTACCTCTTAATCCAACATGTAACCTGTCTCATTATCACCCTGTAAACCGCTTTTTTGTTAGACTGAACTGGCTGTAGTCATCAACAATCACCATTTCAGTACGCTTAGACCTTTCCTATTATTCTTCTTAGTAAAGATGCTTGGTAGGTGTTGTTTTTGGCATCAGGTACCTTCTGTTTGTCATGTCAACATTCTCTATCAATTTTTTGATAGGAGGTATGATTGATATTGGTGGTATTGCATCACTTTTTTGTGTACCTGTTAGATTAATCTCAGGAGAATCTGCAGGAGCAGTATATATGTGATTGTAGAGAACTCATCTTTATTCTTCAATTTCTTGTCATCTGTGTGTGCACTCAACAAGTTAAGGACAACTGATCTGATTGCACTCATAACTCTAACTAAATCAAGAAGAATAGTATCCAGATTGATCTCTACTTCAAAAAGCTTACCATTTTTCCCTCTTTGATGATTCAATTAGCACTTTCTTTTTCTCTTTTGTGGATGTGGAAAGTTAACTCAATTTGAGTTCCTTAGTTGTCTATAATTTGCTTACTTCTGAAACTTTCGGTTGTCGCATAATATTTTCTCTTGATTGAAACCTGGACAGAATATTCGACGGCTGTTGCTACATGTTCCAAATATTTATGTAGCTATTTTATTACTTCAAACTTGCGCGATGAGATGTCGAGAGTCAAATTTTAGGGCAGTTTGATTTCCCAAAAGCAACTGAATTTATAAAGCATTCTAACTTCTCCTTGCTCTCCATTTGCTTATACAGGGTGGTTTATCGCTCTATATTGCCGCTGGCTAGGATTTCATGCCCCCTGTTACCCGCCGTGCTGCCAAAGGTATATTTGCCAATTTCCCCTTTGTTCAGTGCATTCTATAGTATGGTTGTCTAGTAGTTGACGATCCTTGTTGTTGACACAGCATTGAAGCCGATTGGGATCCAGAAATCTCTTGGAACCAGGTCTGATTGGGCGGAAAACGATATTCGGCAGTGCCTTTCTAACTACTACAAGGTACCATTGTACCTCCTGTACTTTTTTTTCCATTATTATGTGTCTGAAACACCATTTTAGTCATAATATGTTAGGGGGCTGACTCTTCTAAAGTTGGACCTTCTTCCCTGTCCCACGAAACAGCAAAATCGAACATTTTTACCTCATTGCCTTGAATATTATTGTCGGATTTCACTATGCATGGTAGCATTTGTTATTTAGTTCGTTTTTGTCATAACCAAAATACAGAACAGTGCTGATTTGCTAAAGCGAAAGGATGTTAATATTGGCTGTCCATGCTAAGAACAGAGCCTTGCTGTGAGGAGGACATGATAGGGACTATTTCCATTGTTCAAAGTAACACTGACAGGATGTTAATATTGATGTGTAGTATATGTACTGTTAAGCCATAAGCTATCGTCCAATGTGTTTCAATCAATATATGAGGAACAAATATGGAAAACTTCCTCTACCAGAAATAGTACTCTACTTGTCCTGGAAAGCTCTTTCCATTTGGTTGGACAGTGGTGGCATTTCGGAGAAGAAAAATGCATGTGTCAACTGGTCTAAATTTCTGAAAAAAAGAACTATTAATTTACATCCTGTCTACTATTAGAAGAAGCTTTCAGCACCTGTTTTTTGAGATCACTTTTGTCTTGAACTGGAACAGTCTTCTTTCTTGGCTTGACTTTATGTGGGAAAGAGTTATATGTGCATTTTTGGATTTGGGTGCTCTTTATATGGATAATGTGGAAGGAAAAGAACTTTGAAGTTTTAAATTGGAATAAAACAGAGTTAAGGAGCTTACGAACTAAAGCGAAACTTCACATTACCAAAATACAGAACAGTGCTGATTTGCTAGTGTTATGTTGGATGAGTGCTCAATTTAACTTTTAGTTCTAGATTTTTTACATTTTGTTAACAGATTTGGTTTGATCCTCATTACAATACATGATTTGGCTTGATCCTCATTACATCCTCATGATTTTTTGGTTATAGAAGAAGTGTATTTAATGGCCGACAGATTTGGGTTATCCACATAAGTGTTAAATGGCTTTAAATAAAATTTAGCCGCTTATGCAATACAATCTGTTTTCCTTTCTAAAAAGCTGCTTACAATCTGTTTTTTTCAACTGGATTTGTGTATGGCTTATTAAGATGAGAAAACAAAGGCGCCATCCAGAGAAGGAGCGTTGTAATTACTCTAGGCAGCACGAAATCCAGTTTGCCAACCACCTTGTTGAGATGCATAGACAGGGTGAAATTAGGGACAATATTAGTTCCTACGTGGTTCCCGAAATTCAGCGCCGGTTAAACGGGCAGTACGGCACCTCGTTTACTGAGGATAGTATAAGGGGCAAGTACTATGCATTGCGCGGGGAGACCAAGCTGTACATTTCCTTTAAGAGGCGCGGAACGGGAATGGGTTGGGATAGCCAGAAGTTTACATGGCTTATGGATGATAGCCAATGGGCCGCGATGGAGCAGGTATCCACATTTTCTGTGCCTTTTTTTTTATATAAACTGTTTTGTCATTTCATACGTGTAATATTCCATTAAATCCTGTTTTGGCTGAATTTGTTTTGTCAGGTCAACCCAAAATACGGCAAATTTCGGAATGACTGCACCGTCTACCATTTGCTTGAGGAAGTCTTCGTCAACCAAGGAGCGACGGGAGACTTCAGTTCTGGCTTCGAGAACGAGCTCCGTACTTCAGCCGATGAGCGAGAAATGGAGACTACTGCCCGGCTTGCACGGGGAAAGGGATCAAGGTCCAGCAGGGACGAGGAAGCTGAAATTGAGGGACGGGGGCCAAAAGAAGCGAAAGGAAAGGGGGGGAAAGGAAAGCGGAAGTCGGGTGATGGCTCTGGCTGTAGTCCCATGTCCACCGCTTCTGGCTCAGTGACCGATAGATATCTCAGGGTCTGTGAAAGCATCGAGTCACTGGTTAGTCGGAAGAAGAGCTCCAGCACGAGTGCCTCAGTTAGTTCTCCGGACAAGAATCGTTCTGGCCGCGATCCATCGAAGAAAACCGACTATGAAATTGCCATGGATCAACTTAAACTTATTGAGAACGTCAATTTCATGGCCAAATACAAGGCAGCTGAGATATTGAAGGATAAACAAGAGCTGGATGTTTGGAATTTAGCTGCAAGTGACGCCGACCGCATCACTTGGATGAAGCTAAAAGGCTGTTTCCCCCCTGACTCTCAGGAGCCCCCTCCCCCACCCCCCTTTTAGGTGCTTTCGTTGTTCATCAGGAGCATTTATTTGAAACTTGAGTTGTTGCCTAATGTTTGTTTGTATTTGAGATCTGTTAGGTGTAGCATTTGCTACCGGAACTTGGACTTTATCCTTTCTGAGTGTTGTGGTTTGTATATTTGAATTTGCGGATGAATACTGGTTTGTTGAGTTGTTGTGTTGCGGATGAATGTTGAGTAATTAAATTCATGATGCCTTTGTTTAAGAATTGGTTTGCGGATTGAAGATTTTTTTTTGTTTCATTTAAAACTGGTTTGTGTTCGTTTCTATTAGGTTGGATATAACAAATCATGGTGATATGACTGTTGTTGGATCGCATTTTTTTTTTTAGGAAATGTACTGGTTGGGCTATTGCTATGTCTGTTTCGAGTGATACTTATTAAGAGTGATAGTTTCATCCATGCAGGTTGTTGGAATGTCAGGAATACGTAGGGCAGTTTTTTCCTTACTTATTGCTATGTTTGTTGTTGGAATGTCAGGAATAGTAGGTTCAGAAAAATTGTAAGAGTTGGATAATAAGAAAGATGTAACGGATAACGTTCCTTACTTGGCGTACAGTTTATATAGTAAAGAATATGTGTCACTTATTTCAAGAATATGTCTAATTTCATCCACGCAGCTCAATTGTGCGACTTACTTCAAGAATTATATGAAGTAATTCAAGTAAGGGACAAAATTCCTTACTTGGCCTGAATTTTCGAATAAAGAATAATCTATCTATCTATCTATCTTAACAAAGATAGAATAAAGAATAAAGAATAAAGATGATCTATCTTAATAAAGAATAAAGAAAATTCCTTACTTACTTTAACAAAGATGATCTATCTATCTTGGCCTGAAATTCCTCTCAACATCCGCTGAAATGGATGTCCATTTCAACAAAGACTTATTCAACAAAAGTCTTTCAACAACTAATTGGCAGATCAATTTCAACATCCGCTGAAATGGATGTCCATTTCAAAGACTTATCTCAACATCCGCTGAAATGGATGTCCATTTCAACAAAAGTCCATTTCAACAAAGACTTATTCAAAATTGAAGTAAGGGACAAGAAAAAAGCAACTTTTGGAAGGAAAATAGGTGCTTTTAGGTATGATGATCATTTTTAGAGCAAGTATTAAGTAGGGAATATGACTTACTTCAACAACTATTTTGAAGAATATGTCTTACTTGGACAATTCTTTCAAGAATACGTGACTTGCTTGAAGAAGATGTAAGATTCTTTTTATGAAGTACGATGCAAAACTTTTACTGGATTCCTCAACTTGTTGGCTATAAATTGGTTGGCGAAGGCTCTAGGCTATTTCAAGAACTTATCGTATTGTCTTACAAACCAATCGAATAGCCTATATATTTCAAGAACTTATCCTCTTGGCTTACAAACCAATCCTCTTGTCTTACAAACCAAGAACTTATCCTCTTGGCTATAAATTTGTTGGCCAATAGGTTTTTGTTCAATTTTGGTCCATGTATATGTTGAATTTTATATTTCCTACTCTGTTTTGGCAAATTAAGATTGGCTTTGAATGATATCTCTGTTTTCCTTTTTTTTTTTCAGATTCACGTCCAATGCAGTCGCACAGATTGAACGAAATGGAGTATGATGGTTATGTGAATGGTGGGAACTCATCTGATGACTCGGACGACGAGGAGCTCATGTTGGCCTTCGCTGCCTTTATTCTTGCTGGATTGGCCTTATTCGACCCGTACATCAACTCGGGCCAGCGGCGAAGAATTCGAGATAGTGCACAGTCAGGTCCTCAATATGTTATCGAGCTGATAAACGGCCATCGAGACAGAATATTCGACAACCTTCGAATGGAAGCTCCCCTTTTCCTCCAATTGTGTGACTTGTTGGTTCAGAGGGGCTATTGGGTGCCCCACCCGACACAACGGGTGGGGATTCATGAGTCCGTTGCTATATGCCTGCTGTGTTTGAGCCATAATGAGCGACATAGGGTGCTTGCCGAGAGATTCCAACATTCTCCCGAGACAACGGACCGCCATCTACGACGCTGCCTTAGATCTCTCGTTCGATTGGGACGCGACCTGGTCCGACCGGTAGATTATCACACAACCCATCCAAGAATACAGAACAGTGCTTTGTTTTGGCCCTGGTTTAAGGTTATGAGCTACTATGTCAAATTACTATTTCATTTTGTCTAACAGCTGTGACCAACTTATGTCTAGAATTTTTTTTTTTATTAGGATTGCGTTGGAGCGATTGACGGAACACATGTTTCGGCCTGGTGTACAGCCGAAGACAGGGAACGTTACCGGAACCGGCATGGTAGCTTATCACAAAACGTTCTAGCCGTGTGTGATCACAACATGAGATTTACTTATGTCAGGGTAGGGTGGGAGGGTAGCGCACATGATTCTAGAATCTTACAAGAAGTCATACAAGATCCTAATTGTGCATTTCCGTGGCCACCAGCAGGTTAGTCCAGATTAAATCACATAATTCCTTTCCGCAATGCGTCTTCAAAGTTTATATAAATATAATTTCATTATGCCAGGGAAGTATTATGCGGTGGACGCAGCTTACCAGAATATGACAGGATTTATGGCTCCATTTAAAGGTGCACGGGGAACCGCGCAAGAGCGGGCAGTGAGGATACTTTTCAACAAACGTCATGCATCGTTAAGAAACATTATAGAACGTACGTTTGGCGTCTTGAAGAAACGATTTCCAATACTTAAGGGCCCTATGCAGAATTACATGATGGCTACGCAAAATAATATTGTCCTGGCTTGTATGGCCTTGCACAACTTCATGCGCGAGTATGTTCCAAATGATGCATATTTTGCCGAAGAAGAAGCAGATATAGCATTGGCAGATAACATAAACCCCTTCAACCCAATGCCAGCAGCACAAGGACCAGATATGTCGGCTGCAGGAATTGCTGAATGGAATGAAAGTAGGAGAGCAATAGCCGATATGATGTACTATTATCAGCACCAGTAGAACATCTCCTGTCATTATTTGTTCAGATAGTAGGCCCAATAAATTGTACACTTATGTCTCGTCTATGTATGAAAGAACAGATAAAACCATGAGGAGAATCAAGAAGAAAGAAGAAATAATACTCCATATAGACAGTCGACCGAAGTAATAACATCTGAACATCTTAACTACCACTGAAGTATTGATAGCCGTTCGCACGGTAGAAGAAAGGCCCAAAGAATGGGGGAGGCTTAAATGTTTGATTGCTAAGCGCAAAACCAATTGCAGAAATTCCTGTGTAGTTGAAGTAATCCAGGCCAGACGGAAAAACTTCAAGGCTTAAAGTAAGATAGTCATCTAAATTTTTTGAGGGATTACTCAGAGAAACTGAATCCACAGGCAACTGATGAGACTGAAATGTGAACATCAATCTCTCTTGCAGAGCCAGAAAAGTGCTCAAGTTCCCCAAGTTAGAGAACGAAGGAGCCCGGAAAAATAGGGTGCCCGTGTATGGATATGCACATTGACAGCTGGGGCTAGAAACTTGATCTGATCTGCACTGAGGCCTCGAGCAATTACTCGGAGTTGTATATGAGGAATTGGCTTGTCGAGGAGGGATACAGTAGCTTGGTGGTGTTTCTTGACAAATTGGGTTATCTACAAGTCTGCAGAAGATGATAAATCATTCTAGTGAGATCATGAGCTCTCAAATCTAAGAAAAAAGTTGATAATAACATCCAACACTAACTCGATACATTGTTCACTGCCGTAGAAAGGATTGTGTTTTTAGTATAAAACAGAGCTTACATTATCTGAATACTGCCGTACCCACCAGCTTGTTCAGTATAGGACTTAACTGTATTATTTTGCAAATCAACTAATTGTAGCTCATTGCTGTAACTGGATCCAAGACTCAGGGTGCCATTGAGTCGATTATTCTTCAATATCCTGTCATGCCCAAACATCGTGCTTGCGGTAATTATTCTCATAACAAGCAGTTCATCAGGTATTTAATCTTGTAAGGGAGCTGGTAAACGGTGTGATAAAAGTTCTCTTGCAGAATACGAATACTCACACAGACTGCAGCTGAGCAAGGCTGAAAAGCTTTTCTGGAACTGCCCCCGAAGATTTGTGTTTTCCATTACTCTGTGATTAGAAACAAAAATGGGCATCTCTATTAGGTTGCAAAGTTTGAGCACATTCTCACCAAGTTAATACATATGTATATTAGGCACATTCATATCTGGAGATTGAGAACGAGTTATGTACAGCGTTGTCAAAGACGGTAAGGTTGAAATCCATGGAGGAAAATCCGATGCATCAAATGTATTGTTGCTCATATCCCTGGAGGGGAGGAAAAAAAAGAAAGAAGACTAAGCACTACCATTGTCAATTTGTCCAATGTATTGAGTACAGTACATACTCCATCGATTTCTCATTCACTGCAGGCTTTGAATTCAAGAGCACTGGTGCAACTTACAGGTAATTGAGGGAGGTCATACCGGTGAGATCAGGCAGGGGCCCGTTCAAGTTATTGTTTGATAAGAACCTGATAAATAGATTCATTGTTAACAATAAAAACTAAATGGGCAGACTAATTTGCTGGTAAAGTAATAAAAATTTTGAAGTTGGCAACTAATTCATTTGCGCAGCTTACAGCTCCTGAACACTGGTGAGCTTGCTGAGGTTTTGCGGAACTGGTCCGCTCAATGAGTTCCTATCAAGGCGTCTGCAGAATGACAGCAAATTTTGCTGAATAGCTCGGACAGGAAATTATTCAAGGCTACAGATACTGCCAAAACATATGATTTGAGTATGAGATTGTAACACTTACAACACCTCCAGAGTTTGGATAAGGCCCACGGTGGAAGGGATTTTTCCCGTGAGCTGGTTATTCTCCAGTAGCCTGCAAAAATTAACATGTAGAAGGACAGAAGATTAATCATGCAAGGTGTTAGATTCTATGATCAAGATGTTTATGCCGTTAAATGCAATAATCCATCTGCAATTAGCCATTGAAAGAAGAGAATCAGCTTTTCGCCTTTCCTCTGAATAGTTGCCAGCACACATGCATGGTTACTGCAAATTCAAATAAATGCCTGTGTGTTGCAATTATGGCCCAAGAATTAAAAGACATTTCTAGCAGGTTAAGTTCTTAATAGTTCAACATGCAAGATGACGGTCAGATTGACAGCACAAGGCAAACATGAAGTTGGTGCTTTTCCATTATAAACAAGTCCTGCCTGGGATTGCAACTACATACCCACACCTCTTGCTTTTGATCCATACGCAACTTACAAGGTTGCCACCCATGGGAGAACAACTCATCACTTTTCTTGATTAACTAAAACACTGTATAAAAGACACGGAAATTCTAGAAGGGGCTTACAGATGAATCAGAGACATATTTCCACTGAAAAGTTGAGATGGGATTTCACCAGACAGCTGATTCTTGCCAAAGTGACTGCAATAAATTGTGATCGATGTTGTCACTTGTCAGGACTATTACTATTCTAAATACAGGAAAAGAAAGCAAATGTAGGCTTAGAGAAGCAGTATGTATACAAGTGCTGTGTCTGGACAAGCATATCAAGACCAGGTGCAGTTCCATTTGAGACAGGTATGCTGCCAGAAAGCTTGTTGTCGGCTAAATCCAGCCAATGAAGTTTTGGTAGAGCACCGATAGAAGGCGGTATTTGGCCAATAAACTTGTTAGAATTTAGCGACCTGAATTACACAGTGAAAAAGTTTAGAACTGTGTATAATAAGATCAAAATTATATGCAGAAGTACCTAGTATATAACCTCAAACCCATAATTGTGAAGATCCAAGGCTCGTATTAAAATTTTCATTGGGATTTGACTTCCATTTACAACACAGGAGGTAGACATTTTATACTCAGGATGTTTCTACACTTGAGGTCTATAATTAAAGGAAAAAGAATTTCAAGTAACGGACAAGGCAAATGTGATCTAATGCAATTTTCAGTCCACATTGGAAACCAAGCAACTGGCTTTACTGTGATTGCCTATGCCACAGCCACATTGATGTAATGTGGTGAATTATTTGCAATTTTCGTTCATATTTCAGTATTTAGGTATGAAAAAGTGCTCATTGAATTCTATCTGACAACATAAACTAGTCATAATTGAGTGAATTCCTGGACTTCTTGATTTCTTCATATTCTAGCCATTGAATTGGATTGGAGATGAGTCCCAAATGGAGATCCTTACAGAGTATATAGCTGCTTCATAGATCCTATGGTGTCTGGTATCTGACCAGAAAAGCCACAGCCAACGAGGATTCTGTCATCCAATCAGGAGCAAACAGATATCAACATAAATTAATCTCATTAATTTACGGTCAGTGTGGTCTGACAAAAGTATGAGTTTCCTTACAAGCTTGTTAGCTTTGCCAAATTTCCAATTGTTCTGGGAAGAGATCCAGTTAATCCTTCATTGTATGATAAATCCCTTCAGCCAAAAAACATAAATGGATCAAGGTCGATGTTTTTAATAATGAGAACAGGTGTGTGTGTGTGTGTATATAAATATAGACAAGTGAACATATAGCTCTCATGCACATGCACAAATAGAGGAAGAGAGACTTGGTAAGTAATCATTTGAGTAGGAGTATAGACAGAGTATTAAGGCAGCGTTGAGTTAAGCATCAGCTGCATGTATGTATATGATAAAACAGGAAATGGCCACAAAATCGCAACTTTTAGATAGCATGGATGTATGTTCTGAGGTAGATAATAGAGAAAATCCACTAGCAAGTGAGACGGCCAAATGGGTAATAGTACTCTCAAATGTGAAGGCATTGTATTAGTCATGAAATGCCAGGCTGGAGAGTGCAGCTTCTATGCTCATCATTCAGGTTCTAAGAGGAAAATAAATACTGAAAGGTAGCAGCAAACATGCTGCTTGACAGAGAAAATGAACGAGTACTAAGGGGCCTAGTGTTCAATGAGAACATTTTTAAGTAAATGAATAATTTTGAGTAAGGTATCAAATGGCTTCACAGAATATAAACAGGAAGGTCTTCATCTAGATGTCAGAACAGAAACTCTAGAAGAATGACCTACAGAGTCAGCAGTTCAGATAAATCGGCGATGTCCCCAGGTACTTGACCACTCAAACCAACGCTCGCTAATGTTCTGCAAATTTGTATCAGCAAATCAAGTCTCAAAGGAGTAAATGATTTACCAGTAAAAGATTCAAGGTGAAAGTTGAAAGAATTGTACATAGAGACGACGCGAGAATTGCTGCATCCAATCCCAATCCAACCACTCCCACATGGATCTGTTCCAGCCCAATTTGGTGGTGCATTCTCCCATCCAGATTTGAGAGATTGCAGAGCAGCAACTGTATCGCAGATTCAGAGAACTTTTTTGTCTTATTGAAAAGTCGCAAGATAAGGCATTGACTTGCCAATGCCCATATGTCACGAAAAGAGTACTTGAATGAGGATTAAACCAGGTTCAAACCAAATTTCACAAGAACCAGGACCAAGCAATACTGGGTACTATAGGCAACTAAAATTTCCATTAGTAAGATAAGAACGGGTGCATTTTCTTCTTTGATCTTTAATTCCCATCAGATAATCTAACCAGCAGCAATCCATAACAATCAGGACAGACGATTCAGCAAGCATTAATCATCTGGTTCTTACCTATAGAAGATCTGAAATCATGCAAACATTCCAACATACAAAATTGAAAACTATCTTAAACAGAATCATAGTCAACTTGGATAAGTCTGCTGCAGAAAAAAAAATAATGAACTCATTAAAAGCAGGACACGTTGATCTGTGTCATTAGACCCCTATATATCTTTGCTTGGAGATGCAATTGAAGTGTCAAAGGAACATAGCTGAACGCAGCATGCTTGGGCTGATAATTATGAGGCTTCTAGCTGAAACTAAGGATGGTCAGTTTTAAGTAGTGTCGTACAGGAAGCCTTTTGGCATTTCCGAACTACCTCTCCTATGTCCTTGATCAGGGGAATGGTGATCTTGATGACCACAAGAAAGGATGCCAATAATGCTGCGAAAGATCTCAAGGAATGAAATTTAGATAGTTATCTTGTTTCTTCAACTTCAATAACAAAAATTGCATGAACCTTCACAAACTTGAGCAATTAAAAGCCCAGTAATTCGGTTAATAGGTGAGAGAGCAGATTAATGCTCAGGGGGAAAAGAACCAGACAGATATAATCCAGAAAGGATGGATTTATCATTTTGGCCTCGTAACCAAACTCAAGAATGGATAAATCGTCCTCATTCACCAAGAAAAAAGAGGGATGAGAAAAAACAAGATCATCAATTGGAGCCACTGGACACGAGCTCCCACAATACAGAAGAATGAAAATCATATTGTTAACATGACTGTGTTGCGGATGAGCACACTGGACACAAGAAGTAGACCAACTTACAATCCTGTGGATTTGTGATTGCTGCTACAACCAAAACTTGAACGAAGATAACCAGCAGATACGGCTGAATTCTTGCGAACATTGTGAGCAGAAATTCTCGCCAGGAGCGGCTAGACCATGAAGTTTACTACTACTCTTTAACCTGACACAGCGTTCCCAACGCAATCTACTAAAGGTGCGGACTTCGACTTTCACTGCCAAAAGAGCTTCATGCATAAACAGATAAAACTTGCTGGCCTCTAGCTCATCCTGGAGAATCAAACCTACTTGTCTTGATATTTTAAAATAGATATTTTATTTGTTCACGTCTAATCTACTTAGTAATAAAACTATAACCCCAGCAAAGAAATAAATGGTCCAATAAGTAATCTAGAGTGCCCAATTGCATTTACACACTTTTTTTAACAATTGTCACAAGTCAATACGCTTTTTTTAACCGCTTTAGATTCAGACGGACTTGAAAAGGTCAAAGCCATTTCTATGAGGAGAGGTTAATGATTGGTTTAATTATTGTCCTGCAAGTTGATACAATCTTATCAGAAGGGTAAGGCCCTCCTCCTCCTCCTCCTCCTGGTTATGAAAGGGACATTTTTCTAAGGTTTTATCGCAGTTGGTGAGTCAAGTCCAGTTGAAACGTTCAAGTCAAGCCATCTCTGCTCGTAATTTACACTTTACACTCCACATGGAAAATGACTTTAACAAGCCTGAGATTATCGTAGGCTTGAAATTTTCATGAGTGCAGAAACTGCAGATTAACACGAGACGTTGAATATTCAACATGGTTTTTTTTTTTTTTTTTTTTTTTGAGTTTTTCTGATTCACATTTCAGCATCAACCTTTTAGGCAAGGCAACGAGAAACCAAATTTCAACTTTAGTACCTAAAGGCTAAATCCGTCCAAAAGGGCCTTCCCAAGGTGAAAGGTCTGTCCCCTTTTGATACTCTCCTACATAGCACATCCATTGGGACTCGTAGCCGTAGGTGGTGGGTTTTGGAGTGTTGACTTTTGTCTTTTAAGAACTTCAACTGCCTGCCTGCGAAAAGGGTTTTTTCCTATTGATATATTATTCTATCATCAACCTTTAAGGACCATAAAAAATCAAACGGCATTCAAAACTAGTGCTGCCTAAAGGCTACGTCCAGCCAAAACTGGGCTTCTAAAACTGCTGTCTTGTGATCCCAAAGTCCCACAGCAACTGGAGAGTGAAATGGGATTTTGGTGCTTGGCATGAACCTCAAATTGAATGGCTTCAACAACCTGTCTGTGTTGGTGGGACAGCCAGAATTTAGTACAGAGATGCCAGTTGCCAAAGAGACCATGTCTCCACTGCTGTACCGTAAAACTTGGAAGTGCTCATCATTGCAACAATAAAAACCGGTCACGCGTTTTGCAATTTGCAGACCAATTGATGCTGAAACCAGAGATGCTGCCAATTGTCAACCCCTTATATTTTTTTTTTTTGTTAATTTATTCGTCTAGTTTTTAGAGGTCAACAAGGAAGCATTTTGTTTATTTGGTTTCTTAGTTTTGGCATGCGATTATGTGAACAACACACGGGAATGTATAGTACAAACATTTTGACCTTAGAACCTAAACATTACAAAAATGAATACGCACATTGATGTTGTCCAAGACTTTTGTGGTCTGATTTGTGTTTTTGATGAATTGATTTCTTGATCCACAAATTCTTTTGTAAGAATCTACGCGTGAATTTGATATAAGAAGGTTTCGGCTCATGCCTGTTTTGGGTTTGAAGGTCAATTGTTAGCTAAAAAAGTTACTGTTCTTTTTTTTTTCTTCTTTTTTTGTTGTCACATAAAAAGTTACCTTAAGAATGTCAATAGTTCAGGAGTTCTTACTCCCATACAACCTTGCCAAAAAAAGAAATGAAAATGAAAAGCTGCTGATTTCAATTAAGTAAAAATGGAAGTCGACTAAGTAAGAATAAAAGCCAATGAAGATGAAGACAAGACGGGGTAACATGTCCGAATGTTTGAAACTGAAGACTTCAACAGGTAAAAATATTACAAACAAATACTCATTTCAGCTTGGATAGGAGCGAGCATCCGATCCCAGCTGACCTCTAAAGAATTTCTGGATGCTTAGTTCAGATATTGTACAGCATCTAAACAATGTACTTGCATCTTCAAGCACGGACAAAAAAAACCATGTGATAAAACTATAGTTTGACTGAATGCAAGATCCCATGGCTGAAACTTTTAGATGTTCAAACTTTAAGAACCGGCTCTAACAGGCAAGTATGTGAAAGAGGAACTTAGTTCCTCGAAAACATATGAAAATCATGTTATTGGTTCTTTTGGTGATGCTCTATGTTGAAAGGTAAGGAGCCAATGCTGTAGTCAAAGTCTTTGCTTCCATAAGAATGTTGATCACTCGTATCCGTTGAATCCTTGGAAATAAATGTAGTGACATCTGCTTCAGGGCTTTTCTTTAAACTAGCCAACTGCATGATATTCTCGATTTCTCTTACTACTTCACCCATTGTTGGTCGGTCAGCTCCAGATTCTTGGACACATCTCATTGCCAGATCAAGAAACTTCTCCAGACCCCCTAGTTTCCCTCCTGCAGTGATTTTGGGATCAAGAATCTCATGACTAAGAAATGCCTCTTTTGGATTATTGACTGCATCCTGAACCACTCTTACTATGTGTCTCCCTCGCTCAATTGGAGCTCTTGCAGTCATAAGTTCCAGCATCACAACTCCAAAGCTATATACATCACTTTTGTCTGTTAACTGTTGGGTCATGTAATACTCTGGATCCATGTATCCCTACACCAGACAAACATCTGCATTTTTAGTGTCAAAGTGAAGTTTGATTTGTTATACCTAAACTAGTTCTTAACATAAAGAGTTCACATCATGGTAATAACTAACACTGACCAGTGTCCCTTTGACTTGAGTGCTGACATAACCCTTGTCTTCATCACTTAGAAGTTTTGACAGACCAAAATCGGCTACTTTTGCATTGAAGTGATCATCCAACAAAATATTGTTTGACTTAACGTCCCTGTGTATGATGGGAGGACTGGCAAGCTCATGCAGGTAAGTCAAGCCTCTGGCAGCATCAAGGGCAATTCCAAGTCTCCTCATCCAGTCTAATTGCATTCCTGACTTCCCTGCAAGTATCAAATAAGATCATCTCAAATGTACCAAAGTCATCGGTTTTGCATTTCATGAATATAGCCTTATTAGCTTGTTTTAGAACTATACTTGGTAGAAAGAGAAGCTTCATGAGTCCTAAATTATGCACCTAAGAGTAGACCATGAAGGGCAGGCACTGATCACCAGATAAGGGACCAGAAAAAATAGTAACATTCATTTTCAAGGAAAACTGCATCAATGGTGGCAGTGTTTGGTCCAGGTTCATTAGAAGTCAAAAAGTATGACAGGTAGAGTGTTACATCAAGGTTCCGCTCCAGTATAGACCATGAGGCTAGCTGTTATGATATCTTTGTGTCTTTTCAAACATTGTGTCTTTAGATGCAAATATCAGCTTATCTGATTTGAATGAATTGAAAATTTTCTCCCACCGTATGAAAGGAGATGCATCCAACAGATTATCCCATGCTTGATGAGATCAATGATGGTAGAATGATTTACACCTCTCCAAAGAAACAAACGATGTTCTTGAGATCTATTAAGCAAAGTAAGAACTATTACCTAAAAGACTTTCTCTGAGAGTACCGTTTGAATATACTCATATACAGCATTTGTTCACCTTGGTCATAACAGAATCCAACAAGGTTTACAACATTCTATGGTGGATCTTGACAGAAGTTCATTTCTGTTTTGAATCAAGAGCACCCTGCATTGATCCCTGTTGAGCTCGTTTAATGGCAACTACTTGCCCAGAAGGAAGCACTCCTTTATAAACCTGTTAATAGTATTAAAGTTAGGAGTGTAGAGAAATTTTAAGAACAGGATTAGCTTAGGAAATTCCTCAACAATGAAGAATACCAGAATTATGAAATCTTAATAAACTGATAAAAATTTCCACGTAACTATCAAAGTAAGTTGTTATTCAGAAAAAGAAAAAAAATCTGAATCTTTTCAAATTGTATTTTCAGTAATATATTTTAAATATCACCGATAACATCTGATTTTATCCCTTTTAAGGGGAAGTAAATTAATAACATACAGCTAAAGATTTTCTCAACAGCAGTTCTTTTTCAACCTTTGTGGTCAATTGACTTGTGAAATTCGATCAGTATATACTGACACTAGATCTTAAAAGAGTGCTACGAGATCAGAGTTGAATTAGCGCATCAGATACATTTTGGTTGTTGATAATTTTGCTTGGCTATTGAACCATAAAGCAATCTTTTAAGCATATTAATAATGTTTGTAAAATTAAGGGATGGATGACAATCAAATTTCTAATGATAAAGAAGCACTATACTTATGTAGATTTCATTGCACTTTCTTGTGCTTATAATTGCGTAGTCACTTTTAGGATCAAAAGGGTGTCTAGTTTGGTTTTGGGGCATTCCGCTAGTAACTTTCAAATGACATGGTCAAGCACAATTAAGCTGTAACATGCAAACCTTCCATAGCCCCCACAGCCAATGCAGTTGGATTCTGAAAAGTTATTAGCACATTTCCTGAGCTCTTCGAATGTAAGCCATCTTGCTCCCTTGAGCTGTGGAACACCACCATGTCCTTGATCAGGGTTCCAAGATGCTGCACCAAAGTGGCACATGAGAAGCAGATAGAACACTGATTTGCAAAGAGATTTTCCTTCTTCAAAGGAGAGTGATCTTACCAAAAGGATTATTCTTCATTTCCTCTCTCTTGCTCTCTTCCTCCTGTAGGCATAAAATCCACCAGCCAGTATCAGCATAAAAAGCACTGCACCACCTACTGATCCTCCAGCAATGGCGCCAGTATGTGACGAATTTTTCTCTCCTGAAAATAGAGCACAGGCAGATTGGTAAGTACCATACTGTGCCTTTATGCACATATGCATGCAGAAAAATGCAATCTGAAGTTCTATAAACAAGGCCAATAAGGTTTCTGCAACTTGTGTGATAGATAGATATTTACCTGCATAACAACAATAGCTTTCCTCAAGAAAGAATAAGGGACCAAAGTACTGGAGCTGAAAAGTTTGGCGGTTGAGCAGGAAACCAATTGTAGAAATGGCTGTTCGGTTGAAAGGATCTTGGCCTGAAGGAAATATTTGCACCCTGAATTGGAGGTAAGAATAAACATCGATTGATGGGTTACTTACGTTGACTGAATCAACAGGGACTCCGTTGGCCTTCAAAGCAGATATCAGAGACCCAGCAAGTGTTCTGTAGTAAGTAGTGTTTTGTAAATC